AGAAGAGCAGGAAGAGGAGCAGGAGGAGGAGGGAGATTTAGCTTTGGTCCGAAGCAGCGAGTCTGAGTCTCCAAGCACTCGGTGTCAGTGGAGCGAGGCAGACGCCCCGTTAGCAGTAGTGAAAAGGGAGCCGGCGGAGGCGCCGGGAGGAGGTGGAGGTATCCAGCAGAGGCAAAAGCACAAGCGAAGGCGGAAGCAGGGGGCACAGGCGGAAGCCCTGGGCACAGGTGGAGGCACCGTGATGGACCGCGAGCCTGTAGGGCTAGAGGAGCCAGTTGAGCAGAGTAGCACGGCTGCCCAGCTCTCGGAGGCCGCCAGCCAGGAGCTGGCGCAAGCGCCCACGGCAGCCCCAAGCCCCGAACCCCAAGATAGCAAAGACGACGTGAAGAAGTTTGCTTTTGACGCTTGTAATGACGTCTCCGCAGCTCCTAAAGAGTCCTCAGCCAGTGAGGGCGCTGATCAGAAAATGAGGTTTGTTGCTTCTCAGTCCTAGACCAGACGCTATCTCCTTTCATTGTTACTAGCGACACACATGAGCTGTTTAGAGCCTGCAGACGGCAGCCATGCTGCCCAGCTAGCTCCTTGCGAGCAGCTCCATGTCTCTTCGTATATTTAACGGGTGATTGGTTTTCCCCTACTCCATCTACTGTGGTTGGGCTCTTAAATTGATAACCGGAATGGAAAGCTAAACTGAATTGCTCTGTAGGGATCTGACATTGTATTTTCGTGGTCAGATTTTCCAACATAAACTCACAAAAGGTGTCTGTCAGTTTAATTTGACACTAATTCCCTGGTAGGTATTCAGTTTTAGCACATTCATACTTTGAAATTCGTTTGCTTCGGCTTTTCTGTGTAGCAGTAACATTCGTTTTTGTCTCCAGCTCTGTTAAGGAAGAACAGGATATAAAGCCAGTCATTAAAGATGAGAAAGGTAGGCCTCCCTTGGTTGTGTTACCATGTGGTGACCCAGAGAGGGGTGGACTACAGGCCAATTGCCCCTGTGCGCGGTGCTTTCCTGAACCACTGTCAGGATTTGGGGGTGGGGGAGGGGCCTTCTGTCTTGTGTGTCATGGGTAGCATACCTAGATGGGAACACCTTTGTTGTGAGTGACAAGGAGGTGCCTGTGAGACCCCCTGAGCCATCTTTCAAAGGCATCTTTGCCACAGGGTGTCACTGATTATTTCTGGAGTGAAGAGTCTGGTGGCTTCATTTAAAGTTTCTGCAGTGTGAGTCCGAGGACTCTGGCAACATGTAGAAAGCTAAACATCGGAGTGTCCTTGGTAGGCAGGTGCAGGGGGAACCCTGAGCTTTCCCTGCTCCCCTTCCCCAGTTGAGTATAATCTGAGCTGCAGGGTCACTGGATTGTCTTCGAAAACAAGGTAGACAGTTATTTGAGGAAGACCCCTGACCTCCATGCTCTTGCATAGGCATGACACAGGGAATCTTGCAGCTTTTGCCTCAGTGGCGATGATGACCTCCTCTCTCCAGGGCGTGCCAGCTGTGGCTCAGGAAGGAACCTGTGGGTCAGCGGGCTGTCCTCCAGCACACGCGCGACTGACCTCAAGAGCCTCTTCAGCAAGCATGGGAAGGTAGGGCACCCCACAGCTGCCTGCCAGCAAGGTGGTGTCTTGTAAAAGCATCTGGCTTCATAGCTTTTAGTGTCCATTTCCTCAGATGCTGATATTTTCTCTCGTTCACGCTGACGATGGAAACTGGGGCTTCCTGTGTGCTTGGGGAAGTGCTCTGTCACTGACAAGACCCACTGTCTTGGTTTGAACTTGGAGATAGGCTGTTGTTTGTAGCCCTTGGTGGCCTGAAACTCATTGTGGAGACCAGGCTGGCCTGAGACTTGCAGCACCACTCCGAGCCCCCTGCTGCGAATATGGCGCTCTCACAGTGGAACTGTCTTCCTGCGTACACATGTGGAACAGCTGTGGTGACTGCCTGGGCCACTCCCCTTGAGCTGGAACGGAGATGAGTTGGTAGAGCACTCAGCTGTGAAAGTCGTGCTAGTGGGTAGCGCAGTGAGTTAAGGCCGGCCTGCACTGCAGAAGGTTGGGAACACCACTGCTTCTTGGAGTACCCAGGCTCCAGCAGAGCTGACTCACCCTGCCTTTGCTTTTCTCAGCACCTTGTGAGGACAGGTCCCTTGGAATCTAAAGCCAGAACGGTTGTGTGCCAGTGATTAAGATGTTGCCCTCTGTCTTTCTCAGAAGCATTTTAGAAACTTGAGCAGGAGACTGGGTCCATCTTCTCACTAGTGCAGTCCACGCATTTCAGAGCTTTTCTCGGGCACGTGGGGACAGGAGGGGAGACTAATCCTGTGGTGGATGAGTGAACTCTGGGCAGGTGCCTGGGCATGGGTGTGGTCCCTGCAGAAGTCTTTGTTATCCTTGGTGCAGGCCTTGGCACCTGTTCCACCCTCAGCGGTTGTCATACTCACTGCAGGTGGTGTCGTAAGTCGGGCCCTGAAGCCACAGTTTTTGGTTGTTTGGTGCTGCTGTCCTCCATGCACTGTGCAGTGTACAGAGGCTTAGGGTGTGTCCCGGCCATTGCACGAGACAGAGCCTTGAGAGCCAGGGAGTGTGCTGTATCTGTGTAAGTCTCAAGGTCAGAAGCATGAGGACAGCAGGGGCTGAAAGTCAAGTGTCTCACAGTGGTCAAAGATGTTCCCAAGGCTTAGACCAGTGGCGCAGTGAGCCACGTGTGCACCTAGACACACAGCCATACCTCTAGTATAAGAAGCTGGGCACATGCCAGGGCGCATGCTTCTTTCCATTAGATACTGGTGCCTGGGGTTCAGGAGGACAACATGCCGCTCTTCTTCTCTGACTTCGGTCACGGGATGGTGCCCCCAGTATCCGGTCTGCCTGTCTGTCTGTCTGTCTGAAGTCCAAGCCTTTTGGTGCACCTGTCCCTCTGACTATTTGTCTCCCTGGAGGCTATTGAGCACATGAGTGCGTGTCTGCAAGTGATGGCCTATATGCTGGAGTGCAGCCCCGGGCCCCATAGAGCACAGGGTGATGCCAGTCCCTGCTGCTTTGCCCTTTTCACTTTAGTGCTCATGCTTGACATAGAAGTAGCATAGGCGGTTGGCATGGCCTTCATGTCTGAGGAGGGCAGCCTTGCTTTGCCATGGACAGACACACTTGTTCAGCGGGCTTTGCTTGGTCTTTGTCCTTCTTCAGCTACCCACTGTTATTTTTCTCCCAGCATTTTCAGATCTTTCTCCCTCCCTGACTTGCATCCTCTTCAGAACACATTGGGTTTTCTGGGCTTTGCTTTCCCTGCTTCCGTCTTTGGGAAGTCGTTTGTGGACCTTCCTGGAACCCTGCCAATGATTGTGTTCTGGGGTAGAGGTAGTTTATAATTCTGTGGCCCTGGGCTGGTGCCAAACTTCCAGCCCTTCCCCACTTTCTCAGGCCTGGTTGGGTTTCCAAGTTTTTGTTTCATTCTGGTAGGTTATCCTGAACTTTTGTCCATCCTCTCTATTATGTGATGACAGTCAGTGTCTTTTGGGGTTCTGGTGGCTTGGGGGAGCCCTACATCTTGCTGACATGTTGGGCTGCTGCTTGCCTGAGCAGATTCTGCCATCCACCAGGTTTGCCTGCGTCACCTGTGGCTGGTGACAGTGCACCTCTGTGCCTGTGGGCAGGTATGCCAGGGCTCAGAGACTCTGCGTTTCCTCAGCTGTCCTCTAACTTGCCTCAGTTTCCCTTCCCTGCCCATGCCCCAGGAACCCCAGGTGTGCAGAGCATCAGCCCTTCTCTGTGCTGCAGTACCTGCTGCCTTCACCACAGGGCCTGGCACAGAAGCTAGGGCCTGGCAGGGGCCAGGAGCTACTAGGCAGACACCTTTGACTTCACAGTCTGACTTGATTCTGTCTCTGTCCGTGTGATGTTCATTGGCTCTGCGTACTGTTTGTCACCAGGAGAGCTACTGTGTTCTGATAAATGCAGGTTCAGTAGAGTGCACCGAGGACGACTAGCCAGAGCTGAGTGCTGAGGACAGCAACAGTTGTTAGGTGTCTGCTACTTGGTCCTTAACAAGCCCTGTGGTCTTGTGACAGAAGTCAAGTGTGTCCTTACACCAGTGTGCTCTTTTCCTCGGAGGTCGTCGGCGCCAAGGTGGTCACCAACGCTCGCAGTCCTGGGGCCCGGTGCTACGGATTTGTGACTATGTCCACGTCAGATGAGGCCACCAAGTGCATCAGCCACCTACACAGGACTGAACTGCATGGGAGAATGATCTCCGTGGAGAAGGTGAGGTCCCTGCTGTAGTCACCCCCCAGCGATAGCAGGGCTGTGTCCCCCCAAGTCACCACCACCCCGTTACCTTCTAGGCCAAAAACGAACCCTATGGGAAGAAGTCGGCAGACAGGAGAGCTTGTGATCAGAAGGAGAAGGTGCCAGGGCTGGACAGGCCTCACCCTGTGGAGATCAAGACGGAGAAGTACAGTGACGTGGCGGCCCTGTCCCTTGGGGTCCCAGTGCCCTTCCTTCCACACCCCGCTTCCTAGCTGCTAGCCATGGGGCAGTGCAGTCCCTAGTGAGAGCCAGAGCCAGACAGCTGGGCAGCCTCCCGTCAGGCTGCATACCAGCTTCAGCAGCGCAGCCTTGACCTCCTGGCCTAGAGGTCGTCTGGGCTGACTCACCCAGATGAGCACCAGCTTCCCCAGCTTGCAGCCCTGCTTGCCACAGTACTGACCTTGAGCAGGTCATCTGTGTTATTCTCACATGTCAGGTTTTTCCATGTTCGTGAAAATATTAAAAGTATTACAGCATGCCATGCATTTCTGTGGCACCCTGGGGTGCCTTAGCTCCTTGCAACCCAGGGTCTCAGGTTTGCTTTTGCCAAAGGATATGGCTAGCAGAAGTAGCCACAGATCTGGAAGTCTGGCGAGTACCTAACAGCTTCCATGTCACTGTTGAGAAGACCTTGGCAGGAGGGCTCTATGCTATTGGTGTCAGTGCAGGTGGGGCTGGGCTTAGAGCTGCACAGTGGCTCTCTGTCCACATCGGTGGGTACTAGGCCAGCCTCTGAGAGCCATAGCCCTAAGAATGTGGGTGTCACTGGGATCATGTATCATGCCATGAGGCCAAATTGTCTGACTTCCACATATGTACCGTGGGTACACCCACACACAGAAGCCCTGTGTGGATGAGGCAGGCTCTGGGGGAAGTGCCTAGCAGCATAGCTTATTTCAAGACTCACTACAGGGGCTCCTGGCTGTAGCTATGTGGCCAAGCATGGCAGTTGGCAAGCCTGTGCTCTGCTGGTGGGCAGCGCATAAAGAGGTTTATTCCAGTGGTGTCATCTTGGGGCATGGTAACAGAACAGTGGTTTTTATTCTACCCATGAAAGGATTAAATATTACCAGAAATCTTGGGGAGTCCCAGCGGAGCCATTATATATATAAAATGTCTGGGAAATTAGGGTCCCCTCATGGGGCTCTGAATCTATGAAATTTAAGAGTATACAAATGCGAGCCTGAAGGTAGTGTTTAGAGGTAGAGTTTAGAGGGAGAACCCAGGGCAGAGTCAAGAGGAAGGAGAATGGAGCAAGGAAGGAAGAGAGGGCCATAGCTAAGTAAGCACTTTGTGTGCCTGCTGTGTAAGGATCTAGAAACTATGGGAAGCCATTCAGGCCAGGCTGAGCTTGCTCCCTGGGCTGGTATCATGGGTACTCTGCCCTTCTAGTCAGTATGTTGGTCAGTTAGTTGGTGCTGATATATTTTGAGATTGTGTCTCACCTTGTACAGCTGGCACCACTCAGCCCTCTTGCTTCAGTCTCCTAAAAGCTAGAGAGATAGGCTTATCCACTACACTGGATTAAAATTGGTTTTCTGTGAATGTATTTCTAAGGTGGCTCAAGTGGTAAGGCGCTTGCTACCAAACGTGGTGGCCTGAGTTTGATTACCAGAATTTGCATGGTAGATTCCAGTTCCTGCAAGTTGTCCTGTGTCTCCTATGTTTGCATTGTCGGTACAACCACACACAAAAGCAAAATAAATAATTTAGCTGGAAAGTCGCTCAGTAGGAGAGCACTTGACTAGCAAGCCCTGAGTTCCATCCCTAGCACCATGGAGAACCAGGTGTGATGGCACATGCCTGCCATCCCAGCACTAAGAGATGGAGACAGGAGGAGCAGGAGTTTGAAGCAGTGTGGGCTATATGAGTCTCTGAGTTAGCTGAGGAGCTGGGGCACAGCAGTACTCTGGTCCTGCTGTTTCCAGCTTTTTAGGCTGCCAAAGAGGAGCTGGAGTGGTGTAGGCCTCAGATCCTCCCCACTTGCTGGTGGGTGGGGCCAGTGGCTTCTGGGGGAACCTTGGGGAGACTATGGCTAACTATTTTCAACAGAACTGTGATCAAGAAGGAAGAGAAACTGGAAAGAAAGGAGGAGAAAAGGCCAGAAGACATTAAAAAGGAGAAGGATCAAGATGATCTCACTTCAGGAGCCGCCAGTCGGTCTCGAGTCACCAAATCAGGTGAGCAGCATCTTGGAAGCTGGTAGAAGGGACGGAGGCATGGTGGGGATAGCAGCTGTCATGGCAGGAAACAGGCAAGACATGTCACTTGACTGAGTTTTACTTTTTGTCCTCTATGAGCAACAGCTGCAGAGCAGGCCTAGCAGACCCTTCCGCAAAAATCACAGCGCCAGTGTGCACCAGGCTGAGTGTGCAGTCTTGGGGTAGGCACTGCCCACACAAGAGGAAGAAAGGAGCTTGCTCCACAGCAAAAGGCAGGCCTGAGCCTGGGGCTGGAAGTCATTGAAAACAGGGCTGTGTGTGCAGTCCATTTTCTTCGGGCCCCTCTTCTGACAGGGTGTAGTAATAACCTTGGAGCACAGGTGTACTCTGTGGCTCCTCACCAGCGGAGACACTCCTTTCAATGACAAAAGCTAAGAACTTAAAACTAGAATTCCTGGGTGTCTAATCCCAGCACTCTGGAAGCAAGGACAGCAGATCTCTTGAGTTTGAGGCCAGCCTGTTCTACAGAGTGAGTTCCAGGACAGCCAGGGCTCCAAGAGAAACCCTATCTCAAAAAAAAAAAAAAATCTGCCCACCAGCTCCTTTGGGACAAATGGAACATCCCTGCCACACACACACACAGGAAATATGCTCATTTCTGGGTGATACACCCTTCAGGGCTGTGCTTGTCATAGATTGCAAAGGGCAGTGAGCGCAGGCTGAGCTGTGGTGTGCCCACGTGCTCATGGCTGCCTGTGCTTTCCCTGCAGGAAGCAGAGGCACGGAGCGGACAGTTGTGATGGACAAGTCTAAGGGCGAACCCGTCATCAGTGTGAAGGCCACAAGCAGGTCAAAGGACAGAGTAAGCATTGACTCCCAGCCTCCCTTCTCCAGGAAGTGCCCTAGCTGGTGCTTTTTGTCCAGCTCTGCCCACTGTAGTAGAGGACTGAGGCACGGACCCCCTTGGCAAGTGACAGGTCTGTCTGGCTTGGTCTAATCTGATGAGGGCATACTTGTTTCTGCTGTTGGCCTTGTGCTAAATGAACCCAAAGGAAAGTAGGGCCTTGTCCTTGACAGCATCAGGGCTGTGTGGGTCTGCCCGTGGCTCTTCGTTCTGGAAGCCTCTGCCCAAAAGAGCCAGGCTGCACACTGTGTGTTCTGCCAGTCGCAGGCCCAGGGCTGGAGGGCAGCCGGTGATGAGTGCAGCGCAGGCATGCATGTTTGCTTGCCCTGTTCCCACCCCTGCAGGAGAAGAAAGTGAGCATTTGGCTCAGAGTGGCCGTGCTTGCAGGGTCCAGGGCCGTCTGGCCTGAGTGGGACCACGGCAGGAAAGCATCAGTGTAGCTGTGCAGAGAACTCACTGTAGAATGATGGCACATGCCCCCTACAACGCATGGCTTAGCTCATGCCAAAAGCCTGTGGTCCTGCTTCTGCTTTTTCCCTTCTCGTTTATATGCATGTGCACACATGCAGAGCAGCTTGTGGGATCCCCTGGACTTAAAATTGTCTACCCTTCTGGGTCCTTTGAGTCTAGAGTTTTCTGATTGTCCCGAATTACAAATGCCACCTTCCTGGTCTGTGAGGCTTTGGCCAACCCCGACTTCCACAAACACTCTCACCATGAAAGCCAGACCCTAGAGTACAGCCAGCTCTTACATGGGGCCACAGCACACAGACAGAAGAGTCTCGGTCTAAGCATGAGGTGCAACCTCCCTTCTACCTGGAAGGTGTGGCTTGGCTCTGCTCTGATGTTTGGGCGTTTTGGCAGGGCCTGTGCTAAATCTGTATGCTAGGCTGGCCTTGAAATTGGAATCCCGCTGCCATCCATCTCACGCTGATGTTACTGGTGCCTGGCCCCAAGCAACTCTGTAAGGTTGAGAATAGGCTGACTTCAGATGTCCTGCTTTGTGGTGAAAACAGAAGAGTAGTATTCAGGAGCTGGGCAGGACGGTGTGTGCCAGGCTGGCTCAAAAGCTCACAGCGAAACCCTGGCTTTCTGTACTGTGCTCTGGCTCCTGTCAGCCACCACGTCCTGCCCACTCAGTTCTGACTGAGTCATTCTGGTCACAGAGCTCCAAAAGTCAAGACCGTAAGTCGGAGGGCAGGGAGAAGAGAGATATCCTGTCCTTCGACAAGATCAAGGAGCAGCGGGAGCGAGAGCGCCAGAGGCAGCGGGAGCGGGAGATCCGGGAGACTGAACGGCGTCGGTAAGCAGGGGTGCCGGCCAAATCTGCCTTGACTCCCGAGGCTGCTTGGAAGTGGATGTGAGGGACAGTGACACTCAGAGCTTGGCAGGCCCCAGCCGAGTGTGGACCTCTGGGGGGGAGGCCACACACTGAGGCTGCAGCCTGGGGTGGGTCAGCTGATAGTCATCTGTGTGCAGGGAGCGGGAGCAGCGAGAGCGGGAGCAGCGACTGGATGCTTTCCAGGAACGTCGTGAGAAGGCCCGCCTGCAGCGGGAACGGCTGCAGCTCCAGTGCCAGCGTCAGCGGCTAGAACGCGAAAGATTAGAGCGGGAGCGGCTGGAGCGCGAGCGCATGCGCGTGGAACGGGAAAGACGCAAGGAGCAGCAGCGCATTATGCGGGAGCGTGAAGAACTGCGGCGGCAGCAAGAGCAGCTGCGTGCTGAGCAGGAACGGCGGGCACTGCGCAGACCCTACAACCTGGACGCCAGGTGAGTGCCTTGCCCCGTCCTGCCTCCTCTGTGGACAGGCGCGTGGAGCTGTTCCTTGGCCAGCCCTTTGTGTTGCCCAGCCACACTGCCCGGCATCCTATGCTTGTGGAAGGCCATAGACAGCAAATGCTGCTCTCAGCCCAGTGGATGGACGGGACGGTCCTGCTCAGGAAGCCTGTACTTCGCAGGCATGGGGTTCCAGTGTCCCGGCACTGTGTCATGCAAGTGTTCCTGGTGACAGTCAGCTCCCAGCAGCCTGCCTCCCCCCTTGGCGACTGGGATGCTGCTGCAACTGCCACCTTGAATTAAGTTTGTTTTACAAAATGCAAACCAGGAGAGAGGACGGCTACTGGCCTGAAGGGAAACGTGCAGCCATGGAGGACAGGTACCGAGACTTCCCACGGCCAGATCACCGCTACCACGGCTTCCACCACCGGGAGCGCAGCCATTACCAGGAACACGTCATAGACAGGTGAGCACTCTCCCCTGAGACAGCCCCCCAGGTATCATCCAGGTGCATGGCAGGTGAGCCCCGGGGCGCTCTGTGTAGACCTCCTCAGGACAGCTGCAGGTGGCACTGGGGAACACCAGGCCTAACACCGGGTGAGCCCACACCAAGCACCCAATGCCTAACCCTCAGTGTCCACATAGCCTTCCAGCAGATCTCAGGTTGGGCAGGGCTGCCTGGCCTAGAGGAGGAAGCAGGTTGGAAGGGGTGAGGGGTCACTTACCTCGGATTCCTGGACCTCACCCCCACCTTCCACACTGTAGTCCCCTTTTCTCGTGGGGTCTTGTCAGGTCTGCTCCTCAGACTGCCCAGACTGTCCATATTCTATAAAGTGTCTCTGTGCATTGATGGGGATGCCTGGCACAGCCTGTCTGGAGCAGCTTTCCTGGGCAGCCACTCACTTTCTGGCTCCAGGGAAACCCCAGCTGCCTGTGATGACCTGGCTCGCATCTCCCCAGGAAAGCCTTCTACCTACCACTGCCGTCCCTTCATGTTAGGTCCTAGCGCATATAGCTATGCTTGGCGGGGGCGAGCTTGTTCCCGGGGGAGGCGTCTGTTTCCACCCCACCCACCGGCATGCTGCCATACAGTGCCTTGTTCCCATTGCAGGAGGGACCTGTCCAGACCAGGAATGGAGGAGCGGGATAGGCAGGTGAGTGAGAATGGCCACCTGTGGCTCCTGCTGTTGGGGATGGGAGGGCCACCTGCTCCAGTCTAAGTCTCATGTAGAAACTGTCAACTCAGTCATTACTGTTTTGGGAATTTGGTGTCTTTTCTCTGGAGATCTGCATTTCCATGGCAGCTTTGAAGCCCTATGGGGAGTTGGGCCCAGGCTATGACCCCTCCAGTTTAGCTGTGTTGTAGTGCTGGAGTCATGACATACATTGTGTTCCCTGAGTCTAAAGGGTGGAGGTGGGGTTCTACAGGATGGGCCTGGGTCAGGATAGGGCTTTGGAAACAGCTCATGTTTGTGTGTGTGTCCCCTGAGGATTTTTTAAAATTTTATTGTTTTATTTATTATAATTTATTTACCTTGTATCCCTGCTATAGCCCCCTATCTCGCCCAGAGCATGTTTTTTGTCATTTCCCCCTTTCCTCTCAGGAAGGCTGGTACTTCATCAGCAAGAGCGCCCTGGTGGTGTAGAGAGCCCCTCATAGACACATTGCTGCTGGCCGTGCAGCACATCTAGGGGACACGGGCTATAGCTCGTGGGAAACAGGCGTGATAGGAAGTGAGAGCTGGCACTGTGTGCACGGCCCTGGGAGAGACAGCCCTTCTCCCCTGTGCCTGGCAGTACTACCTAGATGACCACCATGGCCACGGAGGGCCCCTCGAGCACCACGGCTGGGACTCCCGAGATGGCTGGCGTGGCTATAGCTGTGACAAGAAGTTGAATGAAGGCCAAGGGCTGCCCCCTCCACCCAAGTAAGTGTCCTATTCAAGAGGAGCTTGGGATGGGCTCCTGGGGTATTCGTGGAGGAGCAGGTGAAAGGATCCTCCCTGGCAGTGACCCACTTGGGATGTCCTCCTCCACCTGCTATCCCCGGATACACCATAGGTAGGGATCATGATGGCAGGGGTGCATTTGTCCCTGCCCCTTGGGTGGCAGCAGGGTGGGCGTCTCCACTCTAGCAGGAACACTCCGGGTTGGGTGGTTTGTGGTGAGCACAGGCCAGCTTCCACACAGTCCTGCTACCTCATCCTCCCCAGAGCTTCCCTGCTTCCCTGCCGCACACTGTCTGTTGACGGTCCCTAACTGGAGCCTGTGTTAGAGTGCTTTCATCTTGGAAAGCCCATACCACCAGCAGCCTGCACCTCATCCATCCGATCTCACCCACAAATCCAGCACCGTGGCTTTGCACGCACACACACACTCGTGCCCCTTTTATACATGCGCTTGGTCTCAGATTCCTCCATGCTGTGGTGTGTTTCTGAGTGGTGCTCTTGGCCACCGCTAAATTTCATACCTTGGACACTCCCATTTCTACCCATTGGGCTCAAGCAGGATACTTGTGCTCGCTTTCGGCTGTGGGTCATGTTGCCAGGAAAGGTGGGTCAGCACCTTTCCATGTAGGGGTAGGCCCAAGTGTGGACCACTGTGGCTTCTTGTGGCCCTACTGTGTAGCTGCCTTGCTGGGTGGCCAAGGTCCTTTCCCTGCTGGTGCCTAGTGTCCACATTGCCCGCAGTCCTATCTTTGAAGATGTCTGGACTTGGGCTCACGTCTCGGTATGATGGGAAGAACATGGGGGGCAGCCATGTGTCACCTTCTGTTTGGCAAAGGGTAAACCGAGAATGGGCAGAGCAGCACAACTCACGGCTGGAGGAGCAGCAGGTTCCTGCCTGGCACGGTGCCGTGGACACAACCATGACAGGCCATGAGCACTTACGGTGGCGAGGTAGGTAACAAGGGCTGCAAGGAGTGGGTGAGCATCAGGTTTACCCGCAGAGCCCACAGAGCCGTCTCTCTTCTGCAGGTGCTGAGCGGGCCATTGCAGGGCCCGGGCATGGGCATGTGGCACCAGGCCGGGGTGGCATGGCTGGGTAAGAAGGCTTCAGTGTCTGCCACTGCCTCCTCCTTTCTCCCTTCCTCTACATGTCTGCTCCCCTGGCTGAGCTGGCCTGCATGAACTCTACAGGGCCCTGTCCTGTGTGAGTTGGAACCTTGTGGTCACCAGCCATGGCCCTTACAAACCATCCACCTCTGTTCTAGGCAAGGGAGCTTTGCACACGGCGGACATTCCCAGGGCCATGTGGTACCCAGTGGTGGACTGGAAGGTGGTGGCGTGACCAGTCAGGACCAGGGTGGCCGAGTCCCCCACCCCCACCCCCACTTCACCCGCCGCTACTGAGCCCTGCTCTGGACCAAACCCTGCTGCTCTAAGTAGGCAGAGGCTGCAGCCCAAGCCACCTCCCACTGTGGCACCGCCAGCAGTCGCAGGTTCTGCCAAGTGTCATGTGAACTCACTCACTCTCCTGGTGTTTTTAATAAACACAGTCCCGTTCTGCATTTGTAAGACAAGGTCTGTGTTGTCAGGCATTCGCATCCCTCACATGTTCATCCATTTGCTCAGCTGTTATGTCTGCAGCTGTGACCTGCACTTGCCTGTGCTCAGGGTCCAGGTCTTCTGCCCTTCAGCTTAGACATGGCAGAGCTGGAATCAAGCCGGAGACTCAAGAGGCTGTGTCGTTGGAGGGCTGTTACAGAGCCTTTTCCCTGAGACTGGTCCAGAGCCTGAGCTGGCTTTCCCTAGAGTCCTCCTTGAAAGGCAACAGGCTGGTGGAGGCAGGCACTTAGGTGCACTCCTGGGCAGTGTCAGCCAGGCTCTGGCTGCAGGTTGACCCACCTCTGGATTTGTCTCCATCCCATCCCCCCTGAGCACAGGCTCAGTTCTGAGAGCACCCAAACCCCTGTGGTCCATGCATGGTGACTGAGGGTCTCTTCGGGATATCTTTTTTTTAGCAGTTGACCCCACCATGAGCTGGCTGTAAGGTCACTAGGTCCTCTGAGCCAAAACTTTGGTGCCTACCCTGCCTTGGGCCATCTCTGGCCAGGATCGCATCTGTCCTCCTTGCGTCTGTCTACCAGTGCTGGGCGACACTAAGCTTGCCTCTACATCCCTCAGCCTGCCGGAGCTCTCCTTGCCACCAGCACGCGTGCCTGGTCACGTGGACACCTGCAGCCCTGCTCCAGGCCTAGGCCTGACCAGGCCTGTCCCTGAGGCTGTATTTGGTCAGAATGGCAAGGCTGGCCTTGGCTCGGTTTAAGGAGTGAGGAGGCAGATTGTACGTGCTGAGGGCTACTGAGTGTGTCAGCAGTTCAGCATGTCTGCTAGGCAGTGTTAGTGGTTCACATGTCATCCCAGCATTGAGGACAGCATGTGCTGTGCCTTAAAACCAGGCAGGACCTCGGACCTCGAGGACACAGTGCTCATGGCATGAGCCAGACATAGGACACACCCAACAGGGCCCACTGCCAGGACATCCCTGCAGTTCTCAGCCACAGAAAGGAAGAGGCATTATGCTGCAGGAAGTTGGGAGAGGATGTAGTTAGTGTGGAAAGTGAATGTAGCTTTATAGAGCTGAGATGGACTCTTCAGGAGGTGGATGGTGGGCGTGGCCAACCTTGCCCTCAAGCTTAGGTGGTAAACTTTGTCTTTGGGGTGGTGGTTTAAGGGGACCTCACTCCATGTAGGCTGGCTGGTCTCAAACTCAAAACCCTGTCCTGCTTGCTGGAGGGCTTGTTACACTGCAGAAAAGGCCTATAGTACCTAGCATGCAGCAAGTGCTTTATCAAGTGCAAGTCCTAAGAGCTGGAAGTGCCAGTTGACCTATGACTACCTCCTCTGTCCAGGTTCCAGGCCCTGTCTACCTCCTGTCTCTGTGGCCTGCATCTTCTCAGGTGCAGGGATTACGATGCAGAGGGGACAGTTCACCTGTGTAACCTTGCACAGTCCACTTTAAGAAATCTCATCACCAGGTGTGCTGGGATAGGCCTCCCTCAGTTCAAGGCAGCCTGGGCTACATAGAAAGTTCCAGTACAAGAAAAAGAAACCTGATAGCGCCAGTCAGGTCAGTCATGCCATGCCATCAGTCAGGGTGGCTGATGACTCATGGAAATGCTATCCTGGTACCTAGGCAGGTGTGACCACAGCCTTCGACTCACTTAACATTGCTTCTCAAAGGGTGGTCACCGCCTAGGCGGCAAGTCAGATGACCCAGTCCTTGCTTCTCTTCAGACAGGCTGGAACCCCTGGGTACATGCTAATGTCACCTGCTTTGGGATAAGCATTCAGGGACCTGCCCCTTGAGCTTGCTGCACATACTATAAAATAAACAAGTAAACAACCAATAAGAAAAAGCTCCCAAGCAAAGGAAAATGTCTACAAAAATACCATCGGTTTCATTTTGTGTTGATTAATTACTAGGCATAGGGCCTGCCCTGAAGTGTGGTTAGTAAACTCAGGACATTCCACTGGAGAAAATGGCTTTTTCCTTCACCCCTAGGTGAACTGGAGGTAGGTTTTGGGTAGGGGTGGCAGCTCCAGTGGGAGCCCTCTTCCCTGTGCCTGCAGTGGGGCCTGCCTGCCTTGAACATGTGCGTGCCTCCACAGTTTGACTGAGTTCATGTGTGTTGGTCCTGTTGTGTCTGGAAGACATTGTTTCCTTGGAGATTTTCCCGCCTCCTCTCTCACAGTACCCTGTGCCCTGGAGTGTGATGGAGACATCCCATTTATGACTGGGCGCCTTGAAGCCTCACTCTCTGCAGTGTCCAGCTGTGGGCTTCTGTTAGTTCCTGTCCACTGTGGGAGAAAGCTTCCCCAATTGCTTTCTCCTAAAGTGAGGCCTTTAGGTCAGCACAAAGCTGCTCTCCCTATGACACCATCATTTAAGAAGTTGGGGCAGGAAGATTGTGGGTTCTAGGTCGTCTTGGATTGTGTAGCTCCACCCTGTCCAAGAAACAGTGGCTCCTGCTGTTGTTGGTAATGTCATGTTTGCAGTCTTTAAAACAAGGCCCTTGTCTCCAGCCCCTGGGGCACTGCTCCCTGTGGGGGGAATTAAGAGTTAAAGCCACCAAAGGTGTCTTATCTTCTAGACTTATCACACCCACCTGCTGGGGACTAAGAAGCCATTGGTCGCCAGCAAAATGACAGGGCTTCATGGCAGACTCCTAGGAGGCACTGGTCATTCCTCAAGCATGACTGAGCATTTAGAGTCCTCTGGAATAAAACCAGTAGAGTGGCTTTCACAGTGTCTCCAAGGTCTTGTTCCTGTGGTCACCAGTGGGAGCAGGCAGGGAACTCCGCCTGCTGTTTGGGGTTCCTTGAGAAAGGGAAACCCATGTCCTTGTGCTCCCCTCGGGTTCCACTTTGCCATTCACTTCCAGATACTTCTTGCACACTGGGGACATGTCAGAAGCTGCTTGGCATTCTGGAGGTGACCAGCAGGAACAGTGTTTCCCAGAGAGGGAACAGCGTATAGAGGATCCCCTAGGAGGGAGGACAGGAGGACTGGAGGGACAGAGCAAGCAGAGATGTGAGGACTGGAACGCAGACTCTAGCCTGAGGGCTCCATGGACCTACAGCTTCAGCCCTGGAGGGGAGATAATGGAGGGTTTCCAATGGGATCCAAATCCCTAACATCAGGGACCCAACAGCAAGGAGGGAAGGTGAGTTCACAGGCCCTTCGATGGGCAGCCTCAGATCTCAGGGTCTCGGATGACACCTGGGCTCCAGAAGGAAACCCTGTCTTTAAAAAAACAACAAAAAGGTCTGGAACGGAGCTGAGGCTCCGTGGCACCAAAACCATCCCCAACATCAAATTCAAAAGGGACCACCGCCAAGTCAGTTGCTGGGACAGCCCTTGAGTTTCCAGGTCGGCCGGTTCTGCACATCACCACCAGGTGGCACCCAAGAGCCATCCTGCCAAATGGTCCCCACAGGTCCTTCAGTCAGATCCAGCTCTGCCTCACCCCCAGTGTCTTCCACCGCCAGCGCCTGCCCCTGGGACCTCAGTGGCAGCTGCCATAGAATCTCCACTGGCACCCAGGGTCTCCAGAGGCTCCTAGGTCCAGGCTATGTTTAGGCTGCACCGGTCTTAGAATCAGGAGTTGGTGCCCATCTTTAGCTACATCTTAAGTTTGAGGCCAGCCTGGGTTACACAAAATCTTGTCTCTCTCAATAACAATAGTGATAACAACAAATGAGGGGAGGCAATAGGCTACCTCCAGGTGGTGGTGGCGGCGGCGCACACCTTTCATCCCAGCAGGGGCAGAGCCAGGTGGATCTCTTGAGTTTGAGGCTAGCCTGGTCTACAGAGTGAGTTCTAGGACAGCCAGGGCTACACACAGAAACCTTGTCTCCAAAATTAAAGGGGAGGGAACCTTTGGCAGCCAAACTGCAAACACACATGTACACGCCAGGCACAGTGGGACGCCTCAAGGCACTCAGGAGGCAGAGGAAGAAGGATCTCTGTGAGTTTCAGGACAGCCGGAGTTACATAACCATGATCTAAATATGCATATGTGGGGAAAGACAGAAAAGTGAGGCCGTGTCTGTCAGCGCTTGACAGACTGACAACAGAAAGTAGCAATAGGTGTGAGGCTAGCCCAGACCCCACAGTGTCCCTGTTTCAATAAACACCACAGAGCTGTGTTCCTCACAGTGGAGCACCCTGGGCTGCCGGAACATTCCAGAGGAGCAGTGAGCATTCTCAGGGCTCAGACAATGTCAACCAAGGCTAAGTGAGACATGCTAGACTGCTTTTCTTTACATGTAAAAAGTGCCTGTGAATCAGTAAGAACCAACAGTACGATAAAAAGGGGTGTGTGTGTGTGTGTGAACTGTTTAACATTCTGAAAAGCAAATGCAAATGTCCCTAAACGTTTGGAGCTGGGCATTTCAGCAGTGCTGTGGCCTGAGCCTCTGGCTTTTTGGAGCAAACTTGCTGTCATCAGGTCTTCCACAGTTGCCTAAATCATGCCACTGAGTCAGACACGAAAGCCATGATCTCTCCAATGGGCCAGGGCAGAAAGCCTGAGATCCACAACCACCTGGCATCGTCTCTGCTTAATGAGAAGGTCAGGAGCAACCGGAGATGACACTGACAGAAGCTCAGTGGCCACCAAGGCCCTGGCTCTCGCAGTGACTATTTGGTGCCCAAGAGTATGATGGGTGAGAGCTTGATCTGTGAGTGATGGGTTGGGGCACGGGGACCCGGTCCTGAGAGTGAAGCCAGACACCCACTATCTCTGCTAGGGCTCAGTTTCCCCCCTGTGCTGCAGGTTGAACCTTAATGGCTTAGCAGATAGAGTATACCCTGGTCTGCCTGCAGTGCGGACCACAGGGTTGTTCTGAGCAAGAAGGCTGGTCCACGCTCTGCAGCCCAGTTGTCAAGATTGATTGTTCTTCTCAAATGAACAGCAAAGGAGACTAGCATGGGTGGGTTTGTTGGTTTGTTTGAAGGGGGAGGAGACAAAGCCTCACTGTGTAGCCCAGGCTGCCCTGAATCTTGCAGTTCTCCTGCTTCAGCCTCCTGAGTTCTGGGAACAAAGATGGGTGGCACCTCAGCACCTCTGGAGGCTGGTCCTGCCCACCCCTACCCCCACAGAAGAATGAAAACTGACCTTTTGGCCACCAATTTACAGAATTCTAGCCCCAGCTTATAAAAGAAAAAGCTTTTCCTTTTTACATTTATAAGGGCTTCATGGGGGGGGGGGGGGGGGTGGCTCACACCTTTAATCCCAGCACTCAGGAGGCAGAGGCAGGTGAATCTCTGAGTTCAAGGCCAGCCTGGTCTACAGAGCGATTTCTAGAACAGCCAAGGTTACTCAGAGAAACCTTGTCTTAAAAAAACAAAACATACAAACAACTTAATGGGTCTAGGGGTAGAAGCTCACTGGTAGAGTCCTGCCTAGAATCCCCCAGTGAGGGGCTGGGGCTGAGGTCGGGGGGGGGGCCTTTTCCTGTCATGTGCCCACACTTTGTAGTTTTATATGAAGGATGTGCCCTTTCATAAACATGTTATGTCTTCTATCCATTTTCTAATTTACTATTGATTCTTCTTAGTGTCCAGAAGCTTTATACATAATGTGGAAGCCGGTCTTTTGAGACGGAGAGTCAGTCCCAATAGCTGACTGACCATTGGGAGTTTTCTTTTCTTTTTCTTTTTTTTATTAAGTATTTTATTTATTTTTTATGTACAAGATTGCTCTATCTGCATGTGTACCTGCATGCCAGAAGAGGGCAGTAGAGGGTATAGGTGATTGCCACGGAGTGGTCGCTGAGAATTGAACTCGGTAGCTCTGGAAGATCTCTGCAGCCCTCCTAATCGCTGAACCATCTCTCTAGCCCTATTGAGAGCTTTCATTGGAACTGTTGCTGTTTTCCTGTGTGAAGTGTTTGTATGTAGGTGTTTTATATTTGTGTGTTGTCAGTTATTAATCTTTTAATGAAAGGCTCCTGGATTTAATGTCACCCTACACAGCACACTGAGATGTATGTTTTTCCTATCTATCCTCCTGATATCTTTTTGGTCGGTGGCGGTCAGGGTAGCCCAGGCTGCCCTTAAACTCACAGGGATCCATCTCCCTCTGCCTCTTGAATGCTGGGATTAAAGGCTGAGCCACCTAAGTGTCACTTTGTGCTAAATCTTTAGAATGCCGCGTTTGTTTTTCTCTGTGGAGTCCAGTTTAACACCTAGAATGTTCCCTCACCAGAGCTATACCTGGGTGTGTGTCAGGAGTCCTGTGTCACCAGCGTCATCCTACAAGGCCCCAGTGGATAGACAGAGACACTGAGGCAGGGAGTAGGGGGCTCTAGGGGGTGGAGCCTGGGTTAGAGGCCACAAGGTGGCCACTCCATTCTTGCTGGTGACAACAAACGTCCAGAGTCTGTGTGTCAGAGGCCAAGCGCAGAGGACAAACTGCTCAGTCCTGTCTGGGCGGTGAGAAGAGCAGGGAGGGAAAACGCGTGTTTTTGTAAGTGTGCTGGAGCTGCTGCTGGCACAGGGCAAAAGCTGTAAGGATCAGGAGGCCAGGGCATCCCTATGTCCCCACCAGGCTCTTGCTGAACTATGCGGGTGGTGACTGTGGGAAAATGGCAATGTGGCCCTAGCTCCAGTGGCCAGCTGAATGAGGTTCTTTCAGCCCAAACCAGAAGTTTGTCTCCCGTACGCAGGCCATGACCGCGTAGGCTGGAGAATCCGGCCCTGTCCCCAACTAGACTGAGGTTTCCCTGGAGCCCACCAACACAAAGAAAACCAGATATAGATTAGGGAGAAAGTTCTAGAGTGTTCCCTGGGTGTGGGGGGTTACACTGCCTTCCCCGCCCCTCCTCTTTTCCCCTCATTTCCTCTGCTTTAAAACAGGGACCAGCTCGGCTCCTCCAGCACCCCAGAATCCATCTTGCCCCAGGGCCTTTGCGAGTGCTGTCGCGGGGAGGAAGGTTTGCCTCGGAGGCTGGGCCAGCCGACGTCACCACCCCTGAGAGCTGCTCCCATAACAGGGCGTGCCTGGAAGGGGCGGAGGCGGGTGGCCCAGCCGGTCCTGCCGGTGCTGGCCTGCCAGTCTCAGGCTGGCGGCGGCCATGGAGGGGCTGCGTCGCGGGCTGTCCCGCTGGAAGCGCTACCACATCAAGGTACACCTGGCCGACGAGGCGTTGCTGCTGCCACTGACCGTGCGGCCCCGCGACACCCTAAGCGACCTGCGCGCGCAGCTGGTGGGCCAGGGCGTGAGTTCGTGGCGCAGAACCTTCTACTACAACGCTAGGCCGCTGCCGGACCATCAGACGGTGCGCGAGGCCCGCCTGCAGGACGGCTCCGTGCTGCTGCTGCTCAGTGACCCCAGGTGACCGGGGACCTGGGTTGGGGACCCGTCCCGGCCTGGGACGTGATGGGATCATGGGCTCTGGCTTATGGAGGATAGCCTGGTGGGATGCTGCTGGCTCTGGGACAGGGTAAGGAGGCCCCTGTGGCCGGGTCCCCCCCCCCTCGGCCTTCCTCTCCCTGTCCCTGCCTGTCTCTGCACATGTCTCTGTGTCCTGTCTCTCTCTGCACACAGCGCTTCCCCCTCCCCGTTTCTCCTTGTCTCTGTCTGCCTGACTCCGTCTCTCCGTCAGTTTCTGTCTGCTCACCTCAGAAGTGGGCAGGACGAGCGGCCCAGGGGCCACAGCTGCACTGCCTGCCTCAAGCCCGTCACACCACACTGGGTCCAGACTGTCTGTCTAGTGCGTCTCTCCACGGGTAGGAAGACACTGCCGCCGGAGCCTGGGCTAGCTGCAAAGGCCCGGAAGCCCGGCAAGGACCGCTTCTGTCCTCATCCGGGTCTTTCTGTCCACCCCCTCAGGTAGTCAAGGCTGGAGGAGATGGAGCCATGGTTTTAGGAACACAAGGTACTGGCTGAAGGAGCAGGCTGGGCCAGGAGACGCCACACCTCACTCTTCCTGGGAGCCCAGCCCTCTCCAGGTAAGCCACTCAGGAAACCGAGGGTCCATGGGGTGGACATGCTCGCCTCATCCTCCCATCTCCTAATGTTGGCTCAGCACCGGTGCCCCCAATTTGCTGTGTGACCTTGAGAAATGTTCCCCTCCCTTCTAACCTATGCGGTGCAAGCCTGGGGGCATGGGTCTACAAGTGCTCGGCCTGCAATTCCTCAAACAGCCACCAGGACGCGCTGAGGCACCTTTGCCTGCAATTCCCATGGTGTCCGCCAGGGGCTCCAAGCACTGTGGCTGTCTGCTGGAGAAGGGCCCCAGGAGCGTGGTGACCACGGGACCCACATCCTCTCCCAGATTCAGGCTTTTGGGAAAGGGGAGAAAGGCACCAAGCTGCTGCCTCACGTCCCTTGGGGTCACATGTCCCCTGCTGATCCAGGTGCTGGGTTCCCAGGGAGATGCGACATCCCAGCCCTGCTGATGCCCGCTCTTGCTGTGTTCCTGATGGTGACTTCAGACTCTGTCCAGCCCTCCAGCAAGGAGCCTCCTGGTTTCTCTGTGGCTTTGGGACCCTTCCCTCTCTCTGGGATCCTCTATCAACGCCCAGGGCACAGCTTCTTCCAGGAAGCCCTCCAGTCAACAGACACAGTTCCTTCTTTGGGAACCTATGGGGCTCCAGCTATGAAGAGCCCTGGCTCCAGGAGGACCTGCCGGAACCCTGACCTGGGAGACTGACCCAGGGCGGCCCTGGTGAGCCCATGGACGTGCACAATGCTCTCAGTATTTCAGCACATGCGGTGGCTGTGTGTTCCGCCCCGCAGCCCCAGTGCTGGGTACTGTCTGTACCCCTGTCCCGTCCCCAGTCACCCCCATGTCCTCCCCCCCCTGTGCTGGGACCTGCACAGTGAGCCCAGAAGGAAACACCGTTTCAATTAAGAGCTGGTCAGGTTGCAGGGTTAGAGTAGGGCAGGCGGGGACTGAACCCCGGCCTTTGGGAGCGAGCGGGCTGCGGAGCATGCTCAGCTACACCAGGTCCTGGGGTGAGTCCTGCTCTGCCTCCCCGGGTCCACCAGGCTGTTGCTCAGCCGTGGGGCATGCTGCTGTCCCTGTGGGAGAGCTGGTGGGGGGAAGGGTTGGCATGAGGGGGTGAGAGAAAGCATTTTGACATTTAACAAACACTATGCAAATAGCATGCAAATAGCATGCAAATCACTACTCATCCCTTAAGCCCGACAGCCATGGCGTGTTCAGAAATAATAATGTAGGGCCTGTCCCCTGGTGCCCGTCCTGGCGGCCTTCCCTTCCCCCTGCCCACCTCCCTCCCTCCCTTTTCCTCCTTCCCTTCCCATCTTTGATCCAAGGCCTCCTAGCCCTGAAGTGGATGTAAACAACCCAATTGGCTGCTTGCGTCCTGTTTTCCAGATCAGAGAGCCAAGGCCCACAGAGGCCTTAGGTCCCAAAGCCACAGTGCGGAAGGCATGTACCCCCTCTCCCACGGTCATCAGAGGCCAAGGCAGACAGAGCCTATGGCCCACAGAGCAAAGGGCACAGATGAGGAGGCCCCGGGCTGTTGAGCATGGGCTGCCCACAAGCTCACCCTGTTCCTTGTGTCTGGAGTTTTTCCTGAATCCTGGGCACAGGCCCCTCTGCTGCTTTGCTGCTTTTCTTTTTTTTTTTTTTTTTTTACAAGCTCCTATTTATTCTACAAAAGCCTACCTTGAGTGCCCAATTTTTACACAGCCCTTCCTGATGATAATAATAGCCTCCAGTTCCTCTGGGCCCCTGCCATGCCAGTACTGTGCTCCTGTCTTAGGCCTGAGTCATGAAAGCAGGTGGTGGGAGGCTCATTCCATCGCTGTGAGCTCAGCTCAGGAGCCCCAACGTCATGCAGTCTGGGCTCTAGGTGCGGAGGGCCATTTTGAATGTGTATCAAATAAAAAGACTGAAAATAAAACAGTGCCTGCTGTGACCCGGCTTCATTCTCTCGTGGTTTTGTACCGCCCTCCCCTGTGACACCCACTCTGTCACCTGCTGCCCACTCTCCCTCCAGGGCCTGGCGGACATCAGGCCCCACCCAGCCAGCAAGCCCTGGCCGGGGCAGGAAGTTTCGGGTGAGACTTGGCAAGTTCTCCGGTCTCACTGAGGCCTGTGGCATCCAGGGAGGGGTCCACCCACGCTAAGGCCCGACAGTCAGCAGCAGCAGGGACAAGGCGTAAGGATCCGACAGGGCTCCCTTGCAAGTCGGCCTATTCCACCAAGCATTTGCAGGATACTGTGCCGTTTTCTAGAGACCCAACTGGACTCACTCGCACAGACAGTAGCTGGGATTGTTGAGCACATGAGGGACTCAGCACAAGAGAGCCGAAGGCCACAGACGGGACCTCCCTGTGATTTCCCCTGAAGACCTAGCAGCGGCCGCAGTGGCCCTAGCGACCCTGTACCCAAGTCATCCTTGTTTATTTCTGTGCTTGGGGTCCTGCCTGCACAGTTTTCAAAAACTGAAGAGGCTGGGGCTCTAGGGTGGAGCCCCGCCTAGAACTCTCCAGTGAGAGACTGGGGGTGTGGCCAGGATGGAGCCCTTTCCTGAAGGCCCCTCCTTCGGGGGGGGGGGTGAGGACCGTAGGCGGGGCCTAACAGGACTCTCTCTCTTTAACCAGGTCCCAGCGCCATGTTCTCCTTTGTCTTTAGTTGTGTTTCTCTTTTTGAGACAGAGTTGTCACACTTTAGTCCAGACTGGTTTCAAATTGGCAACAATTCTCGTGCCTCAGGATCCTGACAGCTAATTTACCCTTTAACTTCAAAGGTGCTTCTCAGAGGAGGGCCCCAAATGATTCATGCTCCTTTAGTTACCAAAAAAATAAATAAATAAAATAATAATAATAATAATAATAATAATTGAGGGAAGGTCTCAGCTATCCTGGAACTTGATATATAGAACAGGCTAGCCTTGAACTCACAGAGATCTTCCTGCATCTGTCTCCCTCCAGAGTTCTGGGATTAAAGGTGTGGCTTTAGTTTTTCTTCTCTCTCTTTTTTAACTTACACTCATTTCTTTACCTATTTATTTCTTATGCTGTAACTCACCTGGGGCCTGGGATTCAGTAACCAAGCAGTGAGCATGTGGGGTTCTTAGCATCCTCCTCCAGGATTCTGCTCCTGTCACTGTGGCCCCAGGACAGTTCTGGTTCCATCTGATGAAAAGCCCCAGCACTTGGCTCCCTGCTCTGTGATAAATGGGGCAAACTCAGAATTACTCATCAGCTGGAGGACAGAGCACTGGCACAGGGCGCTGGCTGCACAGGAGGCAGGCAGCCAGGCTGCTGTAGAGAAGTCACTTTCCCTCCCTGAATTCTGTGTCCTCATGGAGGCAGCACTGTCGGATGTTGGGAGAAACTGGTCAGAGGTCACTCTAAGTTATAAACATTAAAGAGCCAGGGGCATAACAGTGGCTCACGCCTTTAAAGAGAGACAGAGGCAGCAGAATCTCTGTGAGTTCGAGGTCAGCCTGGTCTACCATAGCAAGTTCCAGGACAGTGAGACTGTCTCAAAGAAAGAAGGAAGGAAGGAAGGAAGGAAGGAAGGAAGGAAGGAAGGAAGGAAGGAAGAAGGAAGGAAGAAGGAAGCAGCAGGCAGGCTAATTTGGTATCGTGTCTCATGTATGTGCTGTGTTGGTGTGAGGTGAGCAGCAGCCGAGAGGGCTGAAGAAACCGTCGAGAGAAGGACAAAGCAGTGGGCTGAGCTCGCTCCCATGGGATATGGGTGCATGTGAATGGCTGTAGTGGAAGCCAACGGGGTTCGCTGCTGGGTACCCCAGTTGTCCTATCACCCACCTCGAGTCCTCCACCCCATCTTTCTCCTCTAACTCCTCTTCATCACTTTCCAGGGAAACAAGCTCAGGGTCCAAACCGTTCACTCTTGCAGAGCAGACCCTCACAGCCTGGACCTGAGGGTGAACAGGTTGCATTTATTTATTAACCATTTCTGCTCACTGACATGTAGGCAGAGGTCGGCCTGCAGGAGTCGGGGCTGGGGATCGAACTCAGGTCGTCAAGTTTGGCAACAAGCCATCTCTGAGCACCGAGTTTGCACCCAGCAGTTAAACGCTTTCTTTGGCTCATTTCATCCTGACAGTAGCGGGGGGGGGGGGATCACCCCATTTTGCAAAGACTTGCCTAACTTCTGAGTCTAAGATTCTGAACAGGGTAGGTTTGAACCTGAGATTGTTTAAAAATTGAGATGGGGCTAGGAAGGCGGTGTGGTGGGTTTCCGGCTCTGGTTGACCCGGATGCTTCTGTCTATTCCATGTGCTGGAGCCACAGCAGCCTCTCTGGAGTCCGGGGTCCGGATCCTAAGGGATGGAAAAGCAAATTATGTGTCCATGCAGTGTCAGGGTTGGGCTGGAGAGAGCTGGGGGGAGCCGAGACAGAAAATACCTGCTGTCGGCCAGGCACTGGAGCAGGACACACCTTCCTCTCAGATCCCAGGGGAGTACACGGAGGCACAGGCCAGGCTGGGGCCTGAGGAGCATGGCGCAGAGGCGCCCACCGTCTCATCTCCCTCGCTTGCTGCATCACAGGCCCATCCCCAACGTGGTGCAGATGGGGAAACTGAGGTACCATAACCATGACAGCTGCTGACTCACACACACAGAGCCACAAATACATGAAGAAATTTACAAAATGAATAATGACGAGCCTGGCGCTGTTGCCATGGCCACCATGGGTAGATGGTTCCTTAGTGGTTACGTCTGTATTAAGCGTCTATATTCTCAAAGGTATTTTGCCCCACAGAGGTGAATGGGCCCGCAGCCAGCAGGCCGAGGCCCAGGTTCTGCATTAGTGTGCCCTTGGAGGGTCACCAGAGTCCTCGGCCTTCCACAGGCCCAGGCTACCCTGAGAACAAGCACGTGGCCAGCGGCCCGAGACACACAAGGGGGCCAGCAAGATGGCTCAGCGGAGACTGCCTTCAAGCCCTGACTAACTGAGCTCGGTCCCGGGGGACGGTGTCGGGGAAGGAGCCCCACCTCCTGCAGTTAGTCTCCCGCTCCACACACGGGCTAAATACACAGACAGGAAGATGCTTGGGCCGGCCCTCAGGGACGCTTCCCACGTTGTGCCCTCCTGAAGGCCCTGCACAGCCCGTCCTCTGCCAGCCGCCTGGGGACAATTACAGTGTCCCAGACACCTCACAGACAGGCCTCATGTTTAATTCATCCTGAGCTAATGACAGCCTTAGGGAGAGAGCTGCAACCTGGACCCTCCACTCCTGGCCAGTGGTGCTTGGGAGAGGGCGCTGGCTGGGGGTTGTGTCCTGCGCTTGGTCCCCTTGGCCGGTGGGGCTCCCTTCCAGGGGACATGAGGGTGTGTGAAGGAAGAGGCTCACAGGGGCCGTGGAGGATGCAGGACGCTCGTGCACCCATCTACACTCCAGCATGGCCAGCAGGCTGGGATGGCTGCTGGTGGGGAAACAGGAGGTTAGGGTGACAGGGAGCGGGCTCTGAGCTACAGGGAAGGAGTCAGCCACACAGAGTAGGGAGTCATTAGGAGCCACAAACAGTGGAAATGGACAGGACGGACACCGTGTGGCAACCCCACTTCCCGTAAATCATCGTGATGAAAATACGTAGAAGATTGACTTTGTGTAAATGAAATGAATCTGTGTCTGTGCACATTGCATATAGTTGCCTGTGGAGGCCAGAAGAGGGCATCAGACCCCCAAGCTTGATCTCAGGATGCAGGGACTGAACTCAGACCCTTGGCAAAAGCAGCATGTTCCTCAACGCTGTCTGTCAGCTCCATAAAAGTGAAAAAACAAAACAACAACTACAGCAACAAAAGAGCCAGGCATGATATTGGCCCACACCTTTAATCCCAGAAATCAGGAGGCAGAGGCAGGAGGATCTCTGTGAGTTTAGGGTCAGCCTGGCCTACTTGGAAGGTTCCAGGCCAGCAGGGATATATAGAGAGACCCCATCTCAAAATAAATAAACAGTTATAAGTAATATATTGCAAAGACACTTTGGGCCCTGACTGCCACAAAGTAGGTGCTCTATACTTGTCTGAAATCAACCCTGTCTCTAGGGCCTGAGAGCTGCCTGCAGGCATGTGAGGTGAAATCTCTTACTGGCCAGATTTCAAGCCCAGGGCCCAGCACCTAAGCAGCCGGGAAGTAGGGGATTTTGAGCTCGGTGCAAGTGGGTAGCTCAGTCTCTGAGGCTCAGAGAGGAGCAGAGCATCGCTGGGCAGCACAGCACAGTGGGAGAGGGCCTGGCCCATTGGCATTGTCCCGAGGCCTGGATCCAGGTTTGGCAGCTGTAGATGGGGGCGCACCTCGGCGGTGGTACCCAGCGTTTCCATGGTAACCTGGCAGGGGCCAGGCCAGAGAGATTAGGCATCCTGAGGAGCAACAGCTAAAAATAGCTCACGCCCCACAGGGCTCCTTAGTGCTGGGCTTTTGGCTGCCAGTCCGTCCTGTCTGCCCTCTGTGCCCCGGGGGACAGGACACAGCGATGGCTGCCTCGTCCCTGGCCCGTACCAGGTGCAGCCTGGCTCCCTCTCCCTCCCATGTTGCTCTGCCCATCGCTAACCGGCTCTGTGGTCCTGTTTGTCCCCCCACCACGGGCTGATGGCGTCTCTAATGAGTCTGCTAGTCCCTGAGGTGGGAGGAAACGGTCTTGGGCCTGGCTCTCTGTGTAGGACTTGGCACACAGCACTTGGCTTAAGAAATGCGCGACCAACACTCTATGGCTGAAAAATGGATCCTCTAGGAGAAATTACAGTGAGCTATTTCACTTTATTTTTCAGACAGTCTCCTACAGCACAGGCTGGCTTGAAATTCACCGTGTAATCAAGGCTGATCCTCCGGCGTCCAGCTCCCCAAGTGCTGTGAACAGGAATGTGCCTACTCACTCATTCGGTGCTGGGGACAGAACCAGAGCCTCGCTCACACAGGCACCCAAGAGGC